CAAGAACCTGCTTTAGTGATCTATCATTGGAAGTTGAGAGGAACAGTCAGCCTTGAGGGAAAACACCATTTATTTGCTAATGTAACTCCTTTGAGAACTTGGATACTTTTGGTGTAGCATCACACCAATGCCATTTATGACATCTTTGCAGTGAGTGGTATATGCTTTACAAATGGCCTATGAAGAAGCAACAGAGATTTTTAGAAGTGTCTGAGGTAGAAGACTTGTGCTAAACGCAGCTGATGAAAATGCACAGATATTTGAAGACTATGTTGAGGCTACATCAAGGTATAATAAACAGAAACTCACTACATGATGGTGTCTTTAAATGTTATGTGATGTACTGTTTTAAAACATTTAGTATTTTTATGAAAGTTGGTTGCCTCTACAGAATTACTGCATTGATATTTTATGTATGTGAAGACTTTTCATCTCACTTTGCTAAGAAAATCGCTAGAAATGTATTTATTAAAAGGACACACAGGAGTACACAGAAAACTTTGCTTCCTAAGAATACGTGGTACCAAAGTATGTTTTTTATATTCTGTCCATGACAATGGACATTAGGAACATCCAGTTTCAGGAAGAGTTTAAGAAACAGAAGTGTAAAGTAGTGCCCTCTCTGGAGTATCCATTTGTAATAAATGGTTTGGAGAATTCCTGTCCTGCATATATCTTGCATCTGAGCTGCCCACTGATGAACCAAGCTCCATGTGTTCACTGGATTAATTTTTGAACCCTTTGACAGTTTTGACTGTTGTTACATTCTGCAGCAGTGAGTTCTACAATTTAATTATAAGTTGTTTGAAAAAAACAAATTAATTTTGTTTCAGATATGCTCCCCCTAATCATGTTGTTGTGTGCTCTGTAATTGTGTATGAGAAATTGGAAGAACTTTTTTCAGTTCACTTTTTTCCATATTATTCTCAACTTCGTAGGTCTTTATCAGCTCAGTTACCCATATTCCAGTTTGAAGACTCCTAGCCTATGTAATCTGTTTTGTGTGGCAGTTATCTAAAATCTGTTGTCACTCTTCTCTGTTTCTTTTCTGTTCTGCTATAGCCTTTTCAAATGTTGTTACATTTGAAAGGAAGAAAACTGTAATTTGAAAGGAAAAAAAAAAGAAAGAGATAAAAGGAAATTTTTTCCCCCAACATGAGCATAGTAAAGCAGTGGAATAGACTGCCCAGAGAGGTTGAGTAGTCTCCATCCTTGGAGGTTTCCAAGACACAACTGGATAAAGCCCTGAGCAACTTGGCCTCGTCTCATGGCTGACTCTTTTTTGACTGAAAGATTGGGCTGCACATCTCCTATGGCCTTTCAAACCTGAATTATTCTATGATCCCATGACCAGATATGCAGGCAGTACACAAGAAGTCCACAAGTGTAGACTTAATACAATGTCAAACTGGTATTTTGTTCTTTATTCTCTATTCTGCTAACACTGTGTGTGCCTTTTTGACAACTAGACACCACTGGGCTGATGTTTGCAGAAAACTGTCTACAGTGCTCAAAGACCTCTTTACTAAGTTGGTAAGAGTCCATCATTATGCATATACAGTTATCAGCTGCAGCAAGAGCAGAGAAAAAAGCATCACAACTTTGGAACTGTGGCTTTGGAAGCAACATTCCTCCATTCTCTCTGTGCTGAGTTACTTCCCTGAACTTGGAGAAAAGCAGGTAGAAAGGAGGAAGTATCTCTGGGATTCCCTGGTTCTGTGGCTGCTCCTGTTGGCTGAAGCACTGGCAAAAACATTTGAAAGTTGTCTGCTGTGAGGGGAAAGGATTACACTTTGTGCCACTAGCATGTCCATTGCCCCTGGTATGCTCTTGCACTGGAGAGACTAAACAGAGCTGCACCCAGATTTAGTTCCCTGACTGGTGCTGGTGACTGCTGCCCTCTGTCTTAGCAGCCTCATACCATTCTTTCTTTGCCCGCTCTCTGGATAGTAACTTCTGGACAACTGCTTTTGCTCTTCCACTGACCTCCGAATCTCTATACAGTATCTGTACTGTCAGCATCTTGCTTCTGACTTTTTCCTGCACTGAGTGCCACTATGGCTTGCTAGAGCTACAAGGCAGATCTTTTATTGCACATCCATTGTTTTTCATTTATTAGTACTTACTTTAACCTGCCTTTTCAATTATCCACTACTATGAGATATGCCTGCCACATTTCACAGTCTATGTTTGGGTATCCTGAATAATTTTCTGTCATTTCACTGTTCTGTTCTGTACAATGTATCAAGCTTTGTCACAGCAATGTTCACTTTCTCCAGATAGTTGGCAGATATATGAGAGATAGTCCATCAGTCAGTCATTGGTGTCCTGCTCATATATACCACTCTTCTGGTACTGAGGCTGGTTTAAGCTATAGTTTACATGTCTCACCTTATAGTTGGTAGTGCAACAGCTTTGCATTTGGGCAAAAATCCTCTGGTCCTGGTGATATGTTATTTCCAAATAACCTGTCCTTTGCTGACCATCAGGAAGAAGTTCTGACCTTTAGAAGTTGTGCTGACATGTGACATCTCTGGAGTGTTCTAGAAAAAGCATCTAGCTGATTTTATAGAGATCTTTTAGCACCAAAATAGGTGAGAAATCTGATTCTCCTTTCTTTATTTTTTTAACATTTTAAAACTATTTTTAAAGTTTACTTGTTAACATAAAAACTCATCCAAAGTATAAGCTCTGCCTTAGTCCTCATCAACTGCAATGTGGACAGCATCAGTTTGAGCTAGTTATTTGTACTTATCTGGAGATTGTTGCCATAATGATTGTAAGGATTGTTTCTGGTCTGAAAACTTTGTTGCACACACAAATTTCTGGGAGACTTCCTTCTACAATTTAGGAGTGGTACTCTTGTCCTTTTGGGCTGGTAAAGGCTATTGGAAAGTAGTGTGTATACTGAAGGTTGGTAGGAAATATTTCCATACATAGTGCAAGATGGCACTAGTTCTTAGAACACATATTGCAGCCCACAATTCAGGAAGGAAAGTCTTGATGTTGGCAGTCTGGCTAATTGTCAAAAGTTATCCAGACATTCAGGTCTTCACTTTGTCTTGATTTTTGAAAAAGCTCTGCACTGGTTTTTGACACACTGAGGTGTAAGAGCATGAAAATAGACATCATGCCCTTTTGCTGCAGCACAATACTGTAGCTCATTTCTGAGTGTTGAATGTGTCAGATACGTTTGGTTAAGTTTAAATAATTTGCCAAGAGCTGCACTTGGTGTGCCTTCAAGAGGGAGAGGGGATAGGACACTGCTGTGATACAGGTCTTGCTGCAGACAAAAAGGTGGAAGAAGCTGCTTGATTGAATCACATGCTGAGCTCATAAGATCTGACAAGTTTGGATCATAATTTTTTTTTAAAGTCTTTATTTCTGGGCAAAATCATTGTGGTGGTTATGACAGAGTAACTAGACTAGTTCCTGAATTTCATTTCAGTAATTTAATTATACTTTCCAAATTGGATCAAATCTGTGTTGTTTGCACTAGTTACTGAGCTTGTCCTAGCACTGAATGAAGATAAAAACTATATTCTGATTCTTTCCAAATTGATCGAGAGTTTTACAAAGTTTGATCAATAGATTGTTTTGATATGGCAGATGTTGCTGTTGTGCTCAGAGTCTCCTTAGAAGATATCTTTCTTTTTTTTTTTTTTTTTTTTTTTGTCCAAGGAATGTGAGCAGCTGTTTTGCTGCCCTGTGGACCACCTTCTGCTGACCTGTATCATGCCTCCTAGTTGCCCTACGAGGCCACAAACAATGAAGATACATGGGCTAAGATATCTAAAGTTTTAAGATAACTTGTAATTACTACACCTTCTCTGGCTTTGGCCTTGCAGTAGCTAACTTGCTGCTTAATTTTAGGCAGTTAGTAAAACATCTCATGAAGTAAGTGACTGATATATCTTCATACATTACTGGAGAGAGTCAGGTGCCTCTCAAGGCCTCCAGAGGGAGATCCTGTCCACTTAAGTGTTTAACTTTAGGCAGAAAAGATCTTTTGCAAGTCTTCAGCATCACTTACCTCTCCCCATAGTCTCTGTAACAAACATAAAACACTTTAGAAGGACTGGTTTATCACATGTCTAAAATTAGGCCCTTAAGAATATGCTGGCTAGCTGTAATTATATGTGATTTTTGGAAGCTGTGTACTGGTCCCGTGAAGTTGCTTCTAGTCATCATAGCTGCTGAAAGTGAAAAAAGACCACTTGAACACATTTATCATTATTGCTGAAAAGTCAGAGGAATTCTGCCTGTGTTTTCCATGATCTTAAACGTGTTTATTTCATAGTTCATAACTAAAAAGTACCACTGGTTACTTTTTCACTTTCATTCACTATTGCATCAGCAGTTTATACTGGTATTTAAGTCTGGCTTTGCAGGGGAAAAGTTTGGAAGCTTCTTTAAAAAAAGTTATTTAGGATAAGGATTGAGAAACAAAGAACATAACAAGTAAACTGGATTTGAGAGTTAACTAGCTATCCAGGGCATTTTTCTTTAATCTCCATAGATCTTTTAAACTAATCTCCAAGTGGCAGGCTTCAGCTACTGTGACTAGATTTCTTTCACACACTGATAAACCCCCAAAGTTTTCAGTTTCTCCGGAATATTTCCACTTTCCCTTCATATCCCTGGTCTTCCCTGCGCATCTTCTGGTTTATAACTCTTTTTCTCTTAGAGCTGCTGAAATTGTCTGCTCTTTAGACCCTAGAGCCAAATAAGGCATGTCTAGTTGGGAAGATACCATATTCAGTGGGAAGCAGGGGTGAGGATGCATGAGACTGGAGAGGGAAAGGCAGGGGGGGAAGGGTAAGGGGGCTGTATTCTTGACCTTAGGTAGCTGCTGCTGAGAGGTAGAGCGTATTGTGTTGAAGCTCAGGCAGAACTAGAGTTTGTGGATGGGAAGGAGGGAGCAAGGAGGAGGGAGGAGGAAGCTGGGACAGCGAGGGGGGAGGAGGAGGAGAGAGCAGCATCTCTATCTTTCTTTGCAGACCACGCTGCTAAACAGCGAGGGGAGGCTCATGCTTCCCTAATATCCATCACTCCCTGCTTCCAACGTGGTCACAGACAGAGCAACAAAGAGGGTCTGAGAGGTAAGAAAGATCCTTGCAACTTGCAAAGCTGTAGCATCTGCCAAAATAAGGAGAAGCAGCAGCAACAATACAGAGAAAAGCTTATCAGCACCTGAGAATGCTCAGAGACGACAGGGACGTAATTGGACGCCCAGGTCCCCCGAAGGTTAAGGAAGTGTTAGCAGCAGCAGCAACACGGAGTAAGAGGGGAGCAGATCGGGTCCGCGAGGATCAGGATACCAGCTAGCCGTATTCAGCTGCGGGCACTTCGTGTCCCAACTGCCTGTGTAGAAAGAGGAGAGAATAGGGTAGAACTGTGAAAGCAAATGCTCTGATACCTGAAATACATGGCTAAATAAGGCTTAACAAAATGTATGCATGGTTTATTTACCCAGAATGTAGTTTTGGAGTGAACAATTCATTAATTTGTGCATGTCAGAAGAAAAAAAAAATATAAATGAAAAGCAAAACTAAAGTCTGCATATTGTTTTGACTTTTTTACATGAAAATTTGATTTTTCATTTTAGGACAATGTTTCAGTTCAGAAGTACATTTAATAACAACAAGGAGAAAAAAAGGCAAAACACCCAAATGGAATTTTTTTTTGAGTCAACAGAATGGGCTCTTTGACAATTATTGTAAGAAAATATTTGTGATACCAAGACAAGGTATGCTGTTTGATCTGAGAAATTTCATTTAAGAAAAAACCATATAATTTTGTACTGGCCTGAAATGAAATCTATAATTATGTTTGATTCATCCACTCAGCCTAAAAAATCAGCAATTTGTTTAGGTGTATTATTTATAAAGGGAATTGTTTATTTTAGTTGCAGATACTGGAAGCTTAAATGAAGGAGATAGAAAATATAGCATCTGTACATTGGAGAAATTGATGCTTGCCTTTTGCTTTGTCCCATTTACTTTACTTTTTGAAGTATGAGCTACCTTGGTTTTGATCTAACACCTCATAGACCCAGCTGAAAATTATCAACTAATAATGGCAGTAATGTGAATGTTTGTTTTTAAATATGTTGAACCAACTAGAAAGAAAATTAACAGTGGCTTGTATGTCTTATGAATAAGAGTCTTTAGGATTTAATGTCTTTTTTTCACTATGAAACATAGAATCAGTCTCCAAAGATGGGCATTCCGGAGTATTTGTGCTTAATTGAAAGTTTCTGTGTTTTCATCTCCACATGAGGTAACTAAAATAGCTGTAGTGAGTTGATTCAGTGTGTGAATGAGGAAGTTAGAACCACCATTCTCTGCTTCCTTGGGGAACTTGGAGATGGTGGACCTGATTTTGATTTGCTTTTTCATCAGGGTAAATTTACTGGTACAAGTGTATATGGGTTTGGCATCAGGTTCTGTACTGGTCTACTTCATCATTGCCCCATTGTTCTTATAAAGAGAGAAGAGCCACATCACACCAATGGGACTTCTATTTGACCACTCTTTACAATAATGTTAATTACTGTTTCAGGGTTTACAGTCCTGTTATTATTTACAAACAATAAATAAGAGTTTGATCAGCTTATCTGGTATAGTAGTTGTCAGCTTTAGCTTTGAAATTGACTTCAGTCAGTAGAGAATCAGTTTTTTTTTATTGAAAAAGAAGAACCAAAATAACTTATTTTCCTGTCACCCTACCCTTCTTGCTTACACAACTAGTTTTATTATTTTAATCTCTCTTTTGGTTTACTAACTGCAGGAATGCCTGATATATTTTTGAAACCTCTTGTTCTGTCTTGTCCTTAATGTACAGCTGTTTAAGAAAACCTTTAAAGTGATCTTTTATTTTTTTAGAAAAGCTAATCTTGTTACATACAAAATTGCTCTTTTTTTTTTTTTTTGTTCTTTTGACTACAGTTTTGATTTTCTGTGGCTTCTGCTAAAGAAATGAATGTTCTTACTTTGGAAAGGTTTAACTGTGTTATGTGAATAAGAAAACAAACCTAACACAAATCTACTACTGCAGGTAAATTACATTTGAAGCTAGAATTCTTTTTTACTTAGACAATAGTTAGCCATTGTTCTCTTAAAACAACCTTCTATGAACTGTATTGTTCTTGAAGTTTATACGGGCTGGATGCAAAGCTCCCTGAAATCAGGAAGAGACATTCCATTGACTTCAAATGGCTTTGGATCAGGCCTGTCACGTGAGATTAGCTTCTGACAGAAGATCTTATAAGCACAGGCGCAGAACAGAATGATTTAGGGATGGAATTTCACTTATGCTGTGATCATCTTTGCTTTGTGAATATCTGGTAGCCACAATGTTTTTGAAACAATGCTTCATTTATTTTGCGTTGAAAATGTCAGTATTCCTTGGTATTGTGAAGATATAGTTTTGCAAAAATTTTCTTCTAACTTAGGTCTTAAATCTATTATCTATTTGTGTCTATATTTAAAGACTTTGTTAAGGGAGTCCGTCTTTGAATGTGATAGTTCAGAATCTCTTAGATGAGATTTTATAACCTCAATAATACCATGCATAATATACACAAAATTAAGGAAAGAGATTTCTAATGTGAAATAGCAAGTTAAAAACAATCATTCAAATTCTCTTTTACTTGTTAAACCAAAAGGGCATATTCTATATAAGAAACTAAGGGTTTCCATAGCTTCTCTTTTAAAAAAACACCTGCCCCCCAAAACCCAGAAGAGATTGCTTTATAAAATGTGAAAAGTGGCAGTCAGTTTGACATTTTCAGTTTTTCTGCGTATGAAACTTATGCAACTTACACAATGTCAAAACAGTATTGTTTTGTATAACAAAATAAACCAGGAACATTTTACAGCACGTATTATGTAAGGCCAAATTTGGATTAGGAAGTTGTAAACTTTCAAAGGTGATTCTTATTAATAAACAAAAGCCTGTCAGACTCCTAAACACTCTAGTGATGCTGGGCATAATTATCTTTTGGGAAAGGTTCTTATTGATTGTGGCTCTTCTAATGAATACAAAGTCTTCACAATGAATGATAAGTGATCTGTCACTCCTTTTTTTCAGTCTCATACAAAATAAAGCATTTACTTACTCTTAGCTGAGATCAGGCACAACCAGGGGTTTATTTCATGTGAATAAAAGCTACATGAAGGGCCATAAAAGGCTAGTGTATTTAAACAACAACCAAAATCTACATACAAATATCCCTACTTACATGAAAACATGATTGCGTTTGTGTATGACACACACATGCACAGGGAAAGCATTGCATCTTTAACTACAGCTGAAAATTCTTCCATTTTTTCCACTTAGACTCTGGTTAATGATTCAGTCAGTCTGTAAATCCAACTAACTCTTCAAAACTTCTCTTCCACAGATTGTGGCAGGAGATACTTTTAAATTTCCTTAGTAAATTAGTGTCACGTGCTCATTTTGTAGACATTTGTAGCTGTTCCTTTATAATGACACCTAAGGATTCCAAAGAACATTGGTTTGCTTTTCAGTTTGCCTTCATTTGCCATTATCCATGTTGCCTTTCATGCTTGAGTGTTTATGTGAAGAATAAAAGAAGTCTAAGAAGTAACAGCCAGTGGTGTATTTCTGAAGAAACAGTGAAAGAAAATTGCCATTTAAATGCCATGTATCTTGGAAAAAAATGCTGTAAAATATAAATACTGATTGAGCATTACATGAAGAAAATATCCCTTTTCTCCAGCTACATAGTACAGCAGTACTTTATGTACTAAAAGCAACCTGTAATGATGTTGGAGGCATATTTTATGTAATTATGCAGTAGATAGAAATGAAAAATTATTTGTAGAAAGTATATTATCACAGTCATAAAAATAGGCAGTACTGACTGACAAAGAATTACCATCAAAGATGTACTTGAGAATTTATCCTGATACTTAGCTTATTTGCTCTTTTAAGACTTTTTCTGTTTTACATGGTTGCCCGCAAAATGAATGACTGTTTTTAACCTAGCTGTCTTAGTTTTTAGAGCTCCTTAGTAGGAAAGTGTGAAGCTAGGCCTTCTATTTTTATGAGGGAACAAATACATAAATTTTGTCTTGTGGGGCAGAAAATTTTTATTTCCACAATGTTTCCTATCCCTTTTCCAAAGATAAACATTTATTTAAAATAAAAATAATAATCTGATCCTCTCCGGTGAAGTTCTAGTGTCATTATACAGTGCTTTGAAATAATAAGCTAGGTTCTAATGATTATGACTGCATTTCTGTTATGGTTTTATCATACAAGTCCTCATCTACAGGGTATATATATCAACTGCAAGAGGACTTGAATGGGTATACAGGCAGGTTGAAAAGCACTGGTTTTGCTTCTATCAACTAGAAGTTTAGTGCATTAGAAAAGGAAAGTATAGTCTTTTCTGATTTGGAACAACATTTTCACATGCTTTCAAAAATCTCTGTACTGTCCTACTTTCTGTATGAACTAGAGATTGAAGTAGCAAAGTAATACCATGTACACAAAGTGATCAAACCATAGACATAGAGTAGTGAATAAAAATGTAGATATCACTGGTGTAATAATTCAGGATGTTAATTATAATACAGTAGTGAAAATATTTTTGAACACAAGAATGATTTGAAGTTGTTAAAAAGTTGTAAAGATGGTTTCGTTCTAATCTGACATCTGTTTTCATTATTTTCACCCCAGAGATAATGAAATGGTTGATTTATTTTGTAAATGCATTTGTTTTAAAGAAAACATTTGTGACTTGACTGCTATGGAAAGGATGCTTTAGTTAAGTGAGGGATCCTTATCTCAGTGGCATTTTTGTATAGATGGAACTATTAATAGTTTGGGCCCTAATTGTTTAAAACCCATGCATGAATATACTGTGGAGATATGCATGGACATACAGATGTAAATTGGCTTCAGTCATTCCTGCCACCCATGAAAAAGTCACTTATCACTCCCATTTGAGGAGGAAATGCATCTAGATGCTGGCCAGTTCAGACTTGCTAGAATATATCTGATTTAGTAGTTTTCTGGTTTATAATTTTATTCACATTAAAATCTTCTGTCAACAGGTGTATATGTTACT